TGCAGCCCAGGATACAATTGGCCTTCTGGGCTGCGAGCGCACATTGCTGGCTCATGTCCAGCTTTTCATCCACCAGTACCCCCAAGTCCTTCTCGGCAGGGCTGCTCTCAATCCCTTCATCCCCCAGCCTGTATTGATACCGGGGGTTGCCCCCACCCAGGTGCAGGACTTTGCACTTGGCCTTGTTAAACCTCATGAGGTTCACACGGGCCCACTTCTCCAGCTTGTCCAGGTCCTTCTGGATGGCATCCCGTCCCTCTGGCGTGTCGACCGCACCACTCAGCTTGGTGTCATCTGCAAACTTGCTGAGGGTGCGCTCGATCCCACTGTCTGTGTCATTGATGAAGATATTAAACAGTACCGGTCCCAATATGGACCCCTGCGGGACGCCACTCGTCACCAAAGAGTGGACTTAAGTCTTAAGTCAAGTGACTTAAGTCAAGGAGAACGAAAAACTGTATCAGTTGCTCTTGTTAGAGTGTGTTTTGGATGAAAATTAACACTGATTTTTGTTACAATGTAAATGTGGAGTCTTTGGCCTGAGGGGAAGAGGCTAATCTAGCCACCTAAGCAATGCTTACAAGGGCGTGGAGTGACTGACAGACTCGTATAGATTCAGTATGTGTCACGTCCAAGGTGAGATTAGTGATGTGAATAGAACAAAGCCCATGTCATCTGTTCTTGCTGTGAATGCCCTGAAGCTTTGTTTTCATTGCCATCAACTCAGCCAACTGGAGCATTTTATTAGTGTATCAAGAAGAAAATATCATGCTTTGTTCTATTCATTGATTGCTTTTTTTCAGCTTTGAAGTGTAAAATTTACACGTCTGACTATGAGTAAGTTGTTCATGTGACCTTTACTCACAGTCTAGACATCCTTGGGTTTGTAGCTGGCTTCCCAGCAGCCGCTGCATGCCCCCATCACAGCTGCAGGTGAACACGAGCTATCACTTAGAGGGCATAGGAAAAGGATCTCGATGGCTGTAGAACTTCATCTCCCATAATCTCATGTGAAGATCAGCACAATGTCATACTGGTTCTGCTCTTTGATATCCCATTTTCCTTCCCTTATTCTTGGAAGTAAGGCTTTGGATCAACACGGCTCTTTGATTTGGAGGTCATGATTGCTATAATGCTTAATTCTTTGCTTTTTTTCTTCTCCTTACCTCTGTCTTTATCTTTTTCTCTCCGTATTCCTTCTGTCTCCTTTTTGCAGACTAGTTCCACTATATCTCTGATTTCTGAGCCCTCGCTAGGACCGGTTCCCAATTCAGCAAATGCAGACTCCAGCAACACTCCTCGCAGTTTAACAGTGCTATCCCATTCCAAACACCCTTCTGCAAGTTACAGTGGGGACTCAGCGGTGCCAACATCTGCCCCTTCAGCAGTCCTCTGCATTGAGGAAGGCAGTAATGCTGTAGTTCTGCCTACTTCAGGGCATTCTGCTGCTCCTCCACACATGCCCCGTTTGCCTCAAATGGTCCCTGTGCCCCCACCACGGGTTTCTTCTGGTTATGCTACTTGTGGGCAGCAGATGACCTCTGCAAGCTTGGTTCGGCTGAGCAGAAAGCCTGACTCTTCTAGGAATGCTTCCCAGGCTGTGGCGGCTTCCAGTGCGGAGCTTCTGTGTAGACCTGCTAACGTGGAGGCACAAGACCTAGAGAACGATTTGGCAAAAGAGACTGAGAAGAAGGAGCAGAGAACTGATCCCAAAGTCTCGAGTGTACCAATTTCAAATGCTTCAAATGGTCAAGGGAAGGGGCAGATACCTAAAGAGTTGGATCAGCAGGGAGCATTCAGGGACAATTCAGCCCTTCCTTCCCAGGGCAGAAGTGTGGAAACAGCTTTAGATGAGCTATGGGCCCTGGAGCTGTCTGCACATGTGCCAGAGGTACATGCAAAGAATGACAGTGTTTTGAATCCTGCATATGAACCTTCTGTTGTGGCTCTGGATCGGTGGGATGTCTTCCCAGACACTAAAAACCCATTGGGCTTTGTAGGGGAGCAAGAACAGGAGCTAAAAGCTGAAGTACCACATGAAACCAAGGTAGATGGCTGTCCTGATCTGGTCAAGAAGAGGCAAGGCAGAGAGAGAACTCCTAGGAAGACAGGTACTGCTAACATGAAGAAAGCCAGAGGAGATGAGGAAAATGAGCAGTTCAGAAGCTCTGCAGTTGCTCCGGAATCTCCTGAAAATGTTTGGAAAGCTGAATGGGATCTGCCATGTGTCTCCAAATCACCCATTGAGAGGATTTCTGCATCAGGCCAGGCAGGCACTGAGTGACTGTAGGAGTAGGACAAGTCCTAGCTAGGACTGTTCTGACAGTGCACTAACATTTTGTGTGTGGTGTGAGTGTGCTCACCCACACTAACAGCATGCAGCTCTGAGCAATGTTACTGACAGCTGCATGTCATGGAGGTTTGAAATCCTCTGCTTTATTTTGTGGTCTCTTCTGCATGTTGGTCAGCAGCACAGAACATGGCAGTTTGTGGGGACTTCCCTGTGAAATAGACTTTTATTCCCTAACGGGGGTAAGTCTCAGTCCACAGAAGCGTCTGAAAAGTTAAAAGGGCTGTTTCACGCCACTGGAGCATGTTCCTGACTTGGGATGGCAGCTCCTCTGCTCTGCTCGCCTTTTTAGGTCTCATTGCTGGGGCTGTTAGTGTTCCTTCCAGTGCTGGAAGTACACTTTGTGCACCAGACATCTCTGACCAAGAGTCTTATGCCTGTAAAGGGCAAACACAGAGAGGCTGCCCTGCGTCCTTGTGATGCTGAGGTTTCTTTAATGCTCAGTGGAGTGGTCATGCTGCACCTCCTATCTTGGCTTCCTGCTGGTTAATCTTTCCCTTCCTTTTCTAGATAGTTATTTTTGGCTGCTGTGATTATCCTTACGGGGTTTTTCCTTGCACTGAGTCACTGTTCTGGGCTGTGCCAAGAGGAGTTTTGGCATTGTGGAATAAATGTCATCATTCTTCCTGCTCACAGTTGTCACTAATGGCTTGAGTTTGTGCTGTTGCATCTTGGGGCTTGCTCTGACATTGCTCTTCTCTGCTGATATTATTACCTTTGTCATTTAGATTAAATCTTTAATCAAGAGGACAAAAGAGACTGCGAATGTGCATCCAATGTATCGTGACCTCTCGCCAAGGCGTAAACTAGGTCCTGCCATATTTCACAAGACTGAGTCCCAAGATCGCTTGATTGAAGAGCTGCAGGACAGACTGGGCATCGCTAAACAGGAACAGGAAGAGTGGAAAAGCCAGGATGACTGGCTGACAGAGGGGGTCATTATCACTGCCAGACCCCAGGGGGAAGAGCAGAATGGTGGACAGCAAGTAGAGAAGGTAGAAAGCAGGGACATGTGCTGGGAAATTCCAGCACGTCCCTCTGTCCAGATAGCATTGTGTGGAGGTGCAGATTAAGTTTCTGAGTGTCCTAAGCAACACAAAATGAAGAACTAACTCTTTCTACTCACCCTTGTCTGGCCTGAAAAGGGAACCAGCACTCAGGTCCTAGTTCTTGATGTTTAAGAATTGGATTGGGATCTGAGGGTGCTGGTGCTGGTATCTGTTCGGGCAGTCTGCTACTATCACATATCACATGTCCACTTGGGGATTATTTTTAAAACCATGCCTGTCATAGAGGCAAGCTCTGTTTTCCCCAATACTGTACCTGTGCAGGAAGTTCTGGGTGTAAGATGGTGCTCTTCCTTGAGCTACACGGGGAAGCATGTTTTCTAGTTCCCTTCCCTTCTCTTTCTTTCTGCTTTTTCCCCTTAGGTAAACATAGTGCTAACAACCAGCCTTCCTGTTGCAGGAAGTACTTGTTGGTTCCTCTTTGGATTTATTCACCTTTCTTCTCCTCCGTGTCTTTCTAGGTGGTTTTTCCTCCAGAATCCCCGCTCCCCCCAAGGAGGATGGTCTCTGTTCCAGCCTCTCCCCTGCTCCAGCCTTCCAAAGAAGCTGCAAAGACAGTCCCTGCTAGCGCTGTTCCCTCTCATGTCTCTGGCCCTGCGTCTCTACCCCCACTCCCCCCTCAACCTTCCCATGTGCCATCTACCCCAGCTCCTAGTCCAGTCTCCTCTTCCTTCAGCTTGGCTCCCCAGCCTCTCTTCCAGTGGGAAACTTCTGATGATGATTATCACGAGCTTTCTGTTGTGGGCACCCCTCCTTCTGAAGATCCTAGGCATTCCTGTTCTCCCCAGACCTGGACCCCTAGCACCAAGACAGTTGTTTCTGTTGGCTGTCAGACTGAAGATGACGCTTTCTTCCCACAGATGCAGGCAGGCTTCTCTCTTCTGGTTTGTTTTTTTAGCAGTGTTTTCCAGTCTAACTACTGCTCCCAACTGGATAGCTCAGTAGATGTAATGTTCAGGTAAAGGCTGGTACTGAACTGCTAGATAGGAGAGAGGACTCACTGCCAGTATCTAATCCCAGCTGTGCCTGTCTAGCACTGCAAAGGACATGTCTGTGCAATAGCCTGCTGGTGAATGTGTGTGGTTCCTGTCTGTCCTGATGATCACTTTGTGCAGCAGGGACTCTGTTTCCCTCTGAGATGAAGAAGGTAGCTCTGAAACACAGGCTGCAACTCTCCCTGCCACAACCTCTCTTGGAGTGGGCGGAGTAAAAGATGGCCAAATCTTGATACTGGAAGGAGCAAATCAGCGGTCCTTCCAGTGTTTGCCCATTTAGACAGGTGTCCACAGTGCAAGTGGGTTTTGGGGAGGAGATGGTAAGATCAAGAGCTGTGTTCTGCATCTCCTGTCAGGGAAGGGCTGCAGCGCCAGGATGGTGGGAAGTCTTAATGTATATGAGCAGTGCAGTGGTGTGCGATGATATGTGTACAGGCAGCTCTCGAGCAGTGAGCAAGGAAACACCTCTGCATCTTGAACTGTTGTACTTTTCAGGTGACCTCTGCTCCTCCCTTCGTCCGCAGTGCCAATCTGCTGGCTGCTCATGCACCCCTGGGCCCCCCCGCCCCTGTGAAGGCAGGATCTCCTTTCTGTTTCCTCAGCATGGTGTGCTCTTCTGGTCCATGAGTGTGCTGCAGATGCTGCTAGAATCTGCTCCGAGAGCTCCCAGCGCCGTTAACGTAGATGATACCCTGTAGTGCATGGTTTGCTGCTCACAGAGCTCCTAACTGAACTTGAGTGATGGGTGAAGGGCGGGAATTTGAAGGGCCTTTGCATGATGAATTTGTGCGGATGCTGTGCTGAGAGTCCCCTGTAAACAGCAGGCATTGTGTGCAGGAGGTTGAAACAACCCTCTTTCAGGTGGGGACTCATCTGTGAGCTGTCAAGAAGGCTGGGTCACCAGGCCAGGTAGAAATTGTAGTGTGCACAGGTGGTTGTACCTGCGCTGAGGTCAGCTGTGGGTTGCAGGAGTGTGTGGTCCCTACAGGCAAGGGTCAAGTGCTCTGTTGCTCCATGTTGAATTCATCTCATCTCCTTTCTCTCCAGATGGTATTTATCATTTGTGTGTGGCATTTGTGCCTGCCCTGCCTGGGGGCCACAAGCCCCTGGCTAGAGTGGGAGAAGGTATGATTCTCTCAACACGGCCTGGCACTTCTCCTCTTGTTGTGCTGTGCAGGAAGCCCTGGCTTTGTCCTGGGACTCTGGCCTGGCTTTGTTTACAACGGCCTGTCGTCTCCCCCCTGTGAGAAGTCTCCTTGCAATGGTGTGCTTTGGAGACATTCACTGTAACTGTTTGGTAGCAAATAACTGCTGCGTAGCGGAGGGTTTGTTTTAGGCTCAGGACGTTGGGGTGCAATGGGGCTGCTCTGTGCTGCTGGACTAGGAGAGGTTGCAAGTTTTGAGATGGCTGAGAGGAGAGAGGAGGGGAAAAGCTGTGTGTTAGGCTCTGTTGGGAGTCATGCTGCATGCAAGGCAAGGCTGATGAGGAGAGTGTGTATATGTGTGTGTAAAAAGCTAAAATTAGGTATGTCATGAGAATTTTTATACAAATGAGTAGAAACCAGGATTTGTCATTGAGTAAACTATTCAACTACAAGTACAACCAGCTGCAGGACAGGGAATAGAGCTCCTCCTGTGGCTGGAAGGGCAGGTTTCTGCCAAGGCTGTGGAGCACCTCAGTGTGTCCCTGCTCCCCTGGCTGTGCTGGCAGCAGGCTGGTGGGTTGTTCACAAGTGTAGATTTTATGTCTGTTTTAATCTATCCTCTTAGTAAGAGAAAAGTGCTCAAGACCAGCATCTCAGGGAGGGACTTCTTTGGGTCTCTCTAAACCTAAAGATAGTAGCTATTGCAGTGCAAAGTCAGCTAAAATAATCTGTATTTCATTATTGCAGTTTGCCTGCAAAGGGGGCTTTGGTGGCCAAAAAGAACATGTACTTTGTTTATAAGTTATGAACCTAATTAAAACATTTCTGCCCCTCCTCTGGGAAGCCTTTCCAAGCCCTGTGTACTGTGGTGGTGTGAGTTTCAGAAACAGCCTCTGAGACAAGTACCTTAATCCCTTTCCCCCCACCCCTGTGCATTTCCAGCAGGCCGACAATAGATGTGGCAGTCTTTCCATTGCAGTCCTGCCTGCTAGGGCTCTGCTGTGGGTGCGCTGCCCTCTCTGTAGGTAAACAGCAGGCAACTTGAAGGGAGTTATTTCCTTCCTGCTTCCACTTGCTTAGCTCAGGTGTGGGATGAGAGCCACCTGATGGGGGCAAAGGAGACTTTGCAAAAAGATCTGCAGAAGGTGGTGCAAAGGGAGGGAGGGGAAGGGAGAAGATATTCTAGCCGAAAGGGAGGTGAGATGAGGATGAGAAGAGGGATCTCTGTCAGAGGTGAGACAGTGACAACAGAGAGAGAACAACACCATAGAAATAGAGAGAGGTCAAGGGGAAGGGGCCCTCTGGACGGCGTCTCTGCTTTGTCAGCTGGCCAGGAACTGATGAGGTAAAGGGAGATTTTTGGCAGAGGCTTAGAGAGCGCTGTACTGACTCCTTGGGATCTGCTGGTGACTTCTGCTGTATGCACAGTGAAGGAAAATCAAATCCCCAGTTCACAGCTCTGCTGTTACACGTCCCAGGGTCTCTGCATGTCTCTGCATGGGCAGAATACATGTGTGTACTTGATCCTGGCTCTCACTGGCTTCTGCAAAGAGTGTAGCTGTCTCCTAGCGATCTCCTGTCCGTCTCTACAGAGGAGCCACTGGCAGCAACAGCAGGCATTTATCTTATAAGCACAGCAGCACTCGCCTTACAGTCTTTGTTTTCTCTTCCCTGCAGTTCATGGCGCAGGGGAAAGCCGGGAGCAGCTCCCCTCCATCCACAGCCTCCAAGCCTGGCAGTCAGCTGGACACCATGCTGGGAAGTCTCCAGTCTGACCTGAACAAACTGGGTGTAGCTACAGTTGCCAAAGGTGTCTGTGGAGCCTGCAAGAAGCCTATTGCTGGGCAGGTGAGTGGAAGGTGCTGTCTCATTGCTGAATCTTGGGCTGCAGCTGGGAGTAATGGGGAGGGCTGTTTCGTGAGGCTGAAGAGACTGGAGATGCTGGAGAAACTGAAGTACTCTATTTATCCACTGGCTAGGTACGCTGTAAGCTCCTCCAGTGACCTCTACCCTGCCCTTGAGGGACTGCCCTCTCCTGAGATGATAGGTAATTCAGTTTTCATGCTACCCCAGTCCAGGGCTCACTTGAGTAGTAGAACTTGTCATTCTTGCTGACCTCCAGCTGGTATCTTGTCATGTGGTCTAGGGGAGAGGGAGGTAGAGTTGTCCTTCATAATTTGTCTTCCCAACAGGTAGTTACAGCCATGGGGAAAACCTGGCACCCTGAGCACTTCGTCTGCACCCACTGCCAGGAGGAGATCGGATCGCGAAACTTCTTTGAGCGGGATGGTCAGCCCTACTGCGAGAAGGACTATCACAACCTCTTCTCCCCTCGCTGCTACTACTGCAATGGGCCGATCCTTGATGTGAGTTCCTTGAGGGGATTAAGGGTGCTGGCAAGGTGCTGCGGGCCTGGGTGTTAAAAACTCCACTTCACCCATGTGTCCTGGGTGGAAGATTTTGTTTGGGGACTTCTGTTTTTCCTTTGCCCTCGCTCTGAAAGGGAAACAACTTGGCCCAGTCAAATTCTTACACCAGTGAGAGGAGTTAGTCCCTCTTACCTTCGCTGAAGTTCCTTCAGAACCCCACATCGCTCCATCGTTCTGGTGATGATTCCTCAGCATTTGTCTATTGGTAGTCTGTAGTAACAGGCACCGGTGCTAGTCCTGAGAGCTGGACGGGGCCCTGTATAAGGGAGGAAGCAGTGCGTAAGATCCTTTTAGGGTAAAAAAAAGTGTGCAGTGGGGAAAGCCTGAATCAGCCAGAGGCGGGGGAGAATTGACTCAGCTCTCTAAAGGACAGTCTATTTTAATGCACGCTCTTGTCAGTACCAACATTAATGTGTTCTTCCCCCCACCCAGCCCCTCCTTACCTCCAAGCTGAAGCCATCATTTACATGACTTGCACTTTGTCTTCTTCTGAACAGAAAGTGGTGACGGCTTTGGACAGGACATGGCACCCTGAACATTTTTTCTGTGCCCAGTGTGGAGCTTTCTTCGGACCTGAAGGTATTGCTGGTTTATGCAGTCTCCTCCCTGAACTGCAGACAAGCGTGTGAGGCAGAGCTGCTATTGGGGGCAGCCTGAGAGATGACAGGGGAACTACTGAAGATGGAAGTTCCAAGGGATATAGCTGTTTATGGGGGAAGGATGCTAGCAGTAGTCGTCTTTTCTCCCGGGGGAGGAAGGGTATGCGTGTGCATGTGTGCGCATGGGACGGGAGGGGCAGCAGAACAAGGAAACAGCTACCTGCTGTGTGTGTTAGCAGGGGGAAGGATGATCCTACCCACACTGGTTACCCCGCAGGGCTTGGCTGGCCATAGGTAGAGATCAGAAGCTGATGCTCTTTGCCTCTCTTCTCCTTTGGCAGGATTTCATGAGAAGGATGGCAAAGCCTATTGCCGCAAGGACTACTTTGACATGTTTGCTCCCAAGTGCGGAGGCTGTGCCCGGGCTATCCTGGAAAACTACATCTCTGCCTTGAACACCCTGTGGCACCCTGAATGCTTTGTCTGTCGGGTAAGAAACCCAAGGTCCTTTGCTGCTGCTGTACGACCCCTCTCATTTCCACCCTGCAGGCATCTGGTCCCTTATCAGGAAAAAGGCGTCTGTGGGGTAGTGAAGGGCAGCAAGCCCCACAAGATAAAAACGTGTCAGCAGCCAAACACCTTCTTGTTCCTCTGCCTGTTTACATTAAACTTTCTAGCTGCTTTGCTCTTTCTGTTCCCAGCTGCAATTAGGGGCTTCTGCAGCAGCTCACAGATAAACAGAGACATTTTCTGTGACCTTTAAATAATTATAAGCTAAGCTTCTCTCTAAGCACTTGCCTCAGCAATCAGATTTTGAGGATCTTCCTCCTATGCTCCATCTGACAATGTAAACTAACGAGACTGACCTTGTTCAGGCAAACATGCAAGTCAGTGAAATAGTGGCAGGCTCCATACAACAGGCATAATAAACAGGAATACTGCAGATTAAATGCTTGGCACTCTTTCAGAGAGCCTTGCAAATATTAACTCTTACAGGCCCCAAGAGATAAGCAAAATCAGCCAGTGTTTTCCTGGAGTGGGAAAGAAAGGCAGAGACCAGAACAAGCAGTAGAACCACGAGCTGCCAACTCCTGGTATGATGCTCAGAGCGGACTGTCACCATGCTCTTGGGACTGCCTGCCCAGAACTATCTGTGGCTCCCAGAGTGGTGTGCGGAGAGTGGAGGCAGAAGATGGCAGTCCTGACTGTGTGGGGCTGGAGGGGCTGTGCCTTTTTGTGCGGAGATTGAGACTTCTATCAAGCAGTTCTGCTTTCCTTTCCCCCTGCTGCATTAGGGGGGCCAGCACTGATGTCTTCCAGGACACAAGATGGGATTCTCTTCCTGTTTTTGCTGAAGCAGAGCAGACTTTTCAGCTGTCCTGCTGACTGAGGGAGGAGACTGTTAATTGAACTAATTGTCAGCATTAGAAAAGTCTTGGACTCGCTGCAGGCAAACCGCATTCATCCCAGTATTGAGTGTTTCGCTATCGGTGGCTTTGCATGCTGTTTGCTGGACTCCTGTGTACATGTTGGAGTCCAGCTGTGTGTGATACTGCGTGTCCTCCCTGGGGAAGAGGATGGTGTTGGGCCTGAGCAAAACCAGGATTCTGGAAATCTGGCCTCTCTTCTGGGCCTTGCTGCTGATCTGTTTGGTAAATCTGGCAGTATCCTTGACTCCCCCCACAGCCTGCTGCCTCAGTTTCCCACTCGTACAAGGAGGGGAGTCGCCCCAGTCTTGTGGGGGTGGTGGGTGCTTCTGTTGCAGGTTCTGAAGTGTAGCATCCTCAGCTGCCTGCCACTGAGGGGGATGAGGAGCTCTGGGTGCTAATAAGCACATAGCTGGTGTATCCTCTTCTCCTCATCTATTCAAAATCCTAAGCGCTGTAGAACAAACAGTTTCTCCCAGCAGCGATGCGTGTGTACCTGGCGGAGATGTTTCAGGATGGACGATCCTGCGCAAAGTGTGCCTGTGTAATGCCAGCCATTCTGGAGAGATCACTTGTAAAGATTAATTGTGCCCCATTTTCTCAGCTGGAACCAGTCCCACGTTCATCAAAATTCTGCTGCATGAAAGCCTGTGTTGGTCCCTGCTTCTGCCTGCCATTGTGGGGAAGCTGGAGTGAGGTAAAAAAAAAAAAAGGAAAGGTGCTGCAGTGTTTCCCATCTCGGGGGAAGGAGTCTTCTCCTTTCTCCTGGCTGGACACATCTGGTAGCTCGTCTGTAGTATCTTCTTTGTAGAAGTGAAACCAGCTGAGGGAAGGAGCATGGTTAATTCCCTTGCTTGTGGCTGTATCTGTCCATCTATCAGCCTTTCCTTGGAAACTCTTCTTGGTGGACAGAGTTTGGCTCTTTGGGCAACAGGACGATGCTGAAAGGCAGCGGTTCACCCTGCTCACAGTACAGCTAGGCTGTGCCACAGAGCAGAGGAGCCTTGTGGAGCTGCCCACATCCCCAGCTTGTTATACAATCTGTCCCCTTCTGCTTTATCCTCCTGCAGGAATGTTTCACACCATTCATCAATGGCAGCTTCTTTGAGCATGACGGGCAGCCCTACTGCGAGGTGCATTACCATGAGCGCCGCGGCTCGCTCTGCTCTGGTTGCCAGAAGCCTATCACAGGACGCTGCATCACTGCTATGGGCAAGAAATTTCACCCTGAACACTTTGTCTGTGCCTTCTGCCTCAAGCAGCTCAACAAAGGAACCTTCAAAGAACAGAACGACAAGCCCTACTGCCAGAACTGCTTTCTCAAGCTCTTCTGTTAGAGTTGTCATAGATGGGCGCTAAGCATCTTTCTGCCACCCCCGTGGCAGTTCTGTCTCTCTGAACATTACTGTGATTTAGAAACTTTACCAGGCAGGGGAGGAGG